TAACGGAATCTACGATCTCCGCGGATCCGATCGATCCGGCCGTACAAAAGTTTCGAGAAGGCCTGCTTTTCCCTGAAAAAAAAACACGAGCGTATCTCTGAATGGAGGTAGGGTGCTTTGAAAACATCCCTCGTGCTTCGAGAGAAGCCAAGGTATATCAACGGTCATAATTAGCCCGCGCGCGCTTCTGTTTTGCTTCTTTTTCTTTCAATTCAAGATCCGCAGTCTGGTCACAATAGCCGCGCACCCTCCTCCGTCCGGTGCATGATATGCGGATGATTTAAAAAGTTTTCATAGCATTAATGATCCTAATGGCTCTACTTTAGTATAACGTAATTCACCCAGATTGTACACTGGCGCTGCTAATATGCGCTGTTCATGAATTATGTTAAATGCTTCATGGTTACTTTAGTTGAGAAAAGAAAGAACTGACACCTGTGCAGCTGCAAAGCGCTTCGACCCATATTTAGACCTGCGAAATACTATCGCAATGTTGATGCTTTAATATTATTATACAGAGTGTTTCATAATTATATTAACACACGGAAAAGGGTGATTCCTGAGGTCATTTGAAGCAACTTTTTCCTTAGCGAAAAAGTCCTCCGCGGCTTCGTTTACGAGTTATTAACGAAAAACACTGACCAATAAGAGGCGAGCTCGGCTGGCGCGCGGCGGCCCAGCCGACGAGTGCACGGTGCCCAGTTCCGCTGATTGGCTCGACCGCCTGGCGCTAGGCGAGCTCGCCTCTCATTGGCCAGTGTTTCTTGTTAATAACTCGTAAACAAAGCTGCGGATTGCATTTTCGCTAAGGAGAAAGTTACTTCAAATAACCTCAGGAATCACCTCTTTCCAAATGTCAGTTCCAAATGTAATTACGGAACACCCTGTATCGTGTTATGGTTAGCCCAATAACTGAATGAGGGTCCGTCATTTGGTCTNATGTCCCAAAATTATTGTACAAGCGGGAAATGAGGTATTCCTGTGGTCATTTGAAGTAACTTTTACCTTAGCGAAAATGCAATCCGCGGCTTCGTTTACGAATTATTAGCGAAAAAGAGTGACCAATGGGAGGCGAGATTAGCTGGCGCGAAGCGGCCGAGGCGATCAGCGGAACTGGGCTTCGACCGCTCGTTGGCTCGGCCGCTTCGCGCCAGCCGTGCTGGCCCCTCATTGGTCACTGTTTTTCGCTAATAATTCGTAAACGAAGCCGTGGATTGCATTTTCGCTAAGGAGAAAGTTACTTCAAATAACCTCAGGAATCACCTCTTTCCAAATGTCAGTTCCAAATGTAATTACGGAACACCCTGTATCGTGTTATGGTTAGCCCAATAACTGAATGAGGGTCCGTCATTTGGTCTCCATAATTTATCACCTTAAATTTCCACTCAGCAAATGGCGAAACACGGATCTTTGTTGTCTGGCACGATAACACTGCTATGCAATACTATGTATAGTAATTTCTCTCGTATTACTCCTCAGCACGGAAACGAAAATGGACAACTTGGGAAAAGGAGATACAATTATTGTTGCCGATAATCGGTAACTATACAAGCGAGCCGCCTCGCTCGAATAATCGCATCTACGCTTCCCAAGTTGTCCATTTTCGTTTCCAGGCTAAGAGACAATTACTGTATCATGATTATGGCATGAAATTGATCTAACTTCTCTGAAATTTGCAAGATGTGTCCGTGACGTTCACGTCGGTTTTAATGCACCTCTGAAGAATCTCTTGTTCAATATATTTTTTTATACCGAATGTTATCACTTTACGATTATTATTATATTACTATTATTACTATTATATTATATTATATATTACTATTTTTGATAAAATTTTACAAAGTCATTTATTCACATCTCTAGTATCAACAAAATATGAACGAAGAAATAATAAAGTATTAATAAAAATTCAAGCTAAAAAGGAAATGAAAATAGAAAAACTTAAATTTACGTAACCGGTTCGTTAAGTGTTAATTATGCTATTTCTGAGCACCCCTCTATAATCTCTTTTCCAATTGGGACAGTTGTATGCATACATGAAAGACATACCCCACGGTACACACTAATTAATTTACGTGATTAATTTATTGTTCATACCGTTCCATTTGTTCCGCATTATGTTACTATAATATGTTACCATATCCCCTAAACCCATAAATAATAAATAACGATAAAGACAATAATAATAAGCGAGTAATACGAGTAAGATGAAACACTGGATGTCTCCAACCACTGTTTGTCTCTTCTCCGCTCTAAAAATCCATTGCGTAACAAATTGATCGTGTTCGTTATCCGCAAACAAACAGATCGGTTTCTCGTTCGCCGTTATATTTCCCTCGTTATTCGAAAGAACTCCGGCTTAGAGGCGTGCCGACAGAGGAGGTACGCTTGCTTTGACGGTGCTCTGAAAAAAGCCGGAGACACGCGTACCCGTTTATGCGGACGTCTCGGCGAGAGGAACACCGCGGGAAGAAAAATGAGCGCGCGTTTATTACAGGGGCGGAAACGGCTCGACGCGTATAAGAGTAAACCCGGAAAAATGTAGCGGTTGCGGGCGGCTATCATCGGTGTAACAAACTGCGAACGACCAAAGCGACTCTCGAGAGAGGAGAGGAGAGCGAGAGGGGAGCGAGAGCGAGCGAAGACGAGCGCGAAAGTGGAACGCGGGACCGTGAAAAGAGACGGACGGACGTGATGGTGGATAGAGTGGTCCGAACAAGGGACGCCAGACAATTACGGGAACGGTGAAAAAAAAGCACAAACGCCGAGAGACCGACCTGACCCGATCTCGGACTCAAAGGTAGTGGCCGTTGTCTTCGAGACAACGGGACTGGAAACAATTTACACTGACTCCGGAAAGTCACCGTACACGAAAATTCCGATTCCCGACAAATTCTGGATATCCAGACTGCTATAATTTCGCCAACGAGTCGCACGATAATTAGCCTGTGACTCGTTCGAAGCTTCTGCTTTTGCTGTGCCTAATTCGGAATTATTTGTTTAGATGTAAAAATGAATTTACGTACATTTGGTGTACGACATTTATGATCTGCGAAATGCGAGAACGTTGGACGTGCGTTCAGTGTCACATATCTTCTCGTTCTATTGTATAAAATTGCTTGAATTTTATTACGGAATTATTGAGGCACTTTGACTTCGCGGTCGAAATATTAACGAAATAATCAGAACAGTAATGTCTCTCTGATTGACACTCAGATTGTTCACAGCAATGGACAATTTGGGAAGAGGAGATGCGATTATTCGAACTTTGCGACTCGTTTTTATAGTTGTTGACGATCGATGACCATAAAATATCAATGGTATTAATAAATATAAATATATATATATATAAATATATGTATCTATATATATAAATTATATATAAATTATATATAAATTATATATAATTTATATATATATATATATAAATGGTATCAATATCATATCTTCTCTTCCAAAATTGTCCATTTTTGTGGACAACCTGAGCGTCAGTAAGGGAGACATTACTGTAAAATCGTTGAAGCGAAGGGTAAACTTTTGGATATTGACGATTTGTTTTTATAGTCATGAATTGTCAACGATTATAAAAAGCGAGCTGCAAGGCTCGAATAATCGTGTTTCCTCTTCCCAAATTGTCCATTTTTGTGGACAATCTGAGCGTCAGTATGGGAGACATTACTGAACTTCGCCTTAGAAACCATTTTCTTCTTGTTCTTCCAGTGCGTAGAATTACCTTTGTAAATGCTATATGTAAAAAAATGCTAACCGTTATTTAGACTCCCTAAATTTTTTTTTACAACAGACTTTTCGACTTTAAACGCTCTGCCACGAATGCCATACGACAAACATAACTTTTCTTTGATATTCGAGCATCTCCTTATTAGTTATTGTTAGTTATTGTTATTATTATTGTTATTATAATAGTTATTATTATTGTTATTATTATTGTTATTATTATAGTTATTATTATAGTTATTATTATTGTTATTATTATAGTTATTATTATAGTTATTATTATTGTTATTATTATAGTTATTATTATAGTTATTGTTATTATTAGTTATTGTTTAACCATCAACTGCAAACCTATGTTGTCCTTGCAACAAAGAAATTCGTAACCGTGAAATAAACAATAATCACAGCGATAAAAATCCTTTCCCGCGAGAAACGAACCTGCAATCTCTACAAACGGCTCGGTGCTTTCCTAGTAAATCTTATCTATTATAGAAACCGAAGTGGTTGGTGTTCTACGTTAATCCAACCCCTTGGCGCGGCGATCCCCGGCACCGCGAAGAGGGTAGTTCAAATTGGGGTAGCCATAAAAGATCCCGGCACGGTCATCTCGCCGAAAGAACGAAGAAGACCGAGCGCAGCGGCGCGGCACGAGGTCCGCCAACGTGTTTCTTTGTAGAGAGAAAACCGTCGAAGGATGTCGCGAATGTGACACATGGTCTGCATGGTGGCGAGGTGTCCCGTTAACGAGCCGCGCTGGCCGCCGACGGGCGCGTCAAACTGCCCTTGAGCGATCGGAATCAATTCGCTTTTGAAATTTCAAGGTTCGGCCGGGAGAGAGAAGTCGACGCGGCGGATATCGCGGCGGAGCAGAGAGCGCGGAGCGGTGCGGAGGCCCGATAGATAGGAAAGCGGGTTCGTATCTGGGGTAGGAGGGATGGAAGCGCAGAACGGGCCGCTGGTAGAACAGGGGACGCAGGGGGGAGGGAAGGGGGGGCGGGAGGGAAAGGAGAGACCGATAGCCGGAGAAACGGAAAGGGTGGCTGCTAGGGCGAGATGGAGCAAAACGGAGCAAGAGGGCGCAAGAGGGAGCAAGAGGAGGCCGCGGGATGGAGCAAGAGGGTGCAAGAGGGTGCAAGAGAGAGCGAGAGAGGGCGAGGGAGGAAAGAAAGAGGAACGATCGAGAATTCTCCGGCCGGAGGTGGTTCGCGCTTGCGCGTGTCACCAGCAACGCACTGGCACGTAATGCCTTCGGTGAGCCAGTCTGACGCCAGGCGCCGCGACGCTATGACGTCACTGGTTCGCGTTCTCTCAGCGATCGTTTCTCGACAACGGTGAGGATTCATGAATGAAAAGCGGCCGCTCCGAGGCCCGGACCGAGTCTCGCGAGCCGACCGAGGCCTGCCGGCTCGAACCGCGAGGAAAAACCGCTCGCGACCGATCGCGGAACTCGACGATTCACAGTGACGATCGATATCTCGCGATTCGCCGAGACACCGGACGGGTATATCACGGACCTGTATCCCTGCCTACATTCGAGCCAGTGTCGCGATCCCTTCTGTCGGGCCCCGCGGGCCGATCGCGACCATTCGAACGATGGCGGAGGCATCGGCGATCCTCGCGCGACCACGCGTTCGTTTCCGAAGCGAGTCCTGCGTACAGTCTCCCGAGGCACCAGTGCGACGATCGTTCGATGGCTGCGTCGACGGGAAAACGCGCACGATACCGTCGCGTGCCGATTTTTCCGCAGGCGTTTCGCCTGTGCCCGCGGCGTTCCTCCGATCCTCTCCGACATCGAGCAACGAAATCGTGGCTCCGTTGACGCGACGCGGAAACGGGGGCGCGACGGCGTTTCGATTCGATACTCGGAACCGATCGACTCGAATCAGTCGCAGGACCAGTCTTCCCTTCTTCCGATGAACGGGACGACGATCCTCTCGTACTTTGGATCGAGCTGTTATCACGTGTCCCCACGTGCCAGGAGCCTCGATCAGAGTTAGAATCGGATTAAAATGCCAATCGCATTGGCGCACCTCTATGCTGTCCCGTCGAAATAAGAAATCATGAGAGAAACTCTGCTTTTATCGGTCCACTTTGTATCGCGGTGTAACGCGCGCTCGTGTTACACGAACCGGAAAACACCGGCCACAGGTTACAGCTTTCATAAAGCGTTACGTCGGCGTTACAGCGTGCAACGAGTGGCCCCCGGGCAGAAACGCACAGGTACAAGTGCTCGCTTTCACGGTGAAATACCGACGAAACGCGCCGTTGCGATAAGCCGGCGATTATTAACGCCGTGTGAAACGATTACGCCGCCGCGTCTGTCGTGTATTCGTAATTATGTAGCTGGTTTAATGGTAAACGAACTTCTGGGACGGCGGCTTCGCGGAAATAAAAATCCGCGAAACATGCGACATTCGCCGGGTACTTGAGCATCAGCCTTCCGGCATGATTCGTTGAATTATCTCGATTCTCTACGACTCTTCAACGCATCGCTACATTTTTCACACGCGATTATAACTTTTCCTTGGAGAGGGAAAACAGAATTTATATTTATCGCGTGGCTAAATTTACTCGGATGCTCGAACATCGTCGACAAGAGAACAGAATTTTATTCCGAGTTCAAAGAACGGAATAACATTCGTGCTCGACGGATTATCACCGGAAATCTCCGTCACGGGTCTCGGCAATTCCTTCCGGAAACAACGAAGAATCGAACGACAGATACGGCAGTGTACGTGTTAAGCAAGAAACGCCGGAAAGTAATAAAGTTTCTCTCATAAAACGTCGACGGGACGATGAATTTGCACCTTATTTTTTGGACGATCGTCGCGGATGATCCGCCGACGAACACACCGTCTCGTCTTACGGATCATCCGTCACGAGGAACCAAAGCAAAAGGTGCACGTACATCCAGTTTAGGAAACCACGGCGGTTCGTTAATGAGGGAGTTCGTTAACGGGATTCGCGTCTGGCCGGGCGATAGGGCCGACGGCGTTCGACGACGGTGCGTCACTGTCTGGGAAGTCTATTAAACCCGTCGATAATTGGTACAATAATTTGGACGAGTCGCATTATTGGCGCGACGGAGCAGCGTGCCAAGAGTAGGCAGCAATCGCCTTTACTTCTGGGAATATCGGCCAATAGACCGGAATATCCAATAATCCGATAACGCTCGAGTCACGGTGCTGGACAATCTGGTTCCATCCTGCAGTCGTTCCCGTTAGCCTTCTCGTCCTGTTTCGGCTACAGCATGCGTGCACGCTCCCCGTTTATCGCATTCGGCTGGTGTTCCCTCCCCCCCCCCCGTCGTTCACGCGCACCCTGTCCGCGACACCTGTTTATGTCCAACGTGGCCGGTTCTTTTATTTTTTGCAACCCGGAACACGGAACCCGAATTTCGGAAATGCGAGCTTCCGCTTGCTCGCATTCGTCGAAATCCGATCGGCTGGCTCGTCGACCAAGCGCATAATTAGAAATGCTTCGTCGCTTTCCGAAAATAGGCAAAGAAAATTCATTCGCTCGCTCCACCGGCTAAATATTCATAACCCGCGGCGTTCGTGCAAATACGAGGTCTTCGCGAAACCGAGTAAAGTAGTACTTGAACGCAGTTTGACTTTCGTCGCAGTCTCGCAATCGAGTTCGTTTCCGCGGGAATAAATAAGTAAATAGCGGGTGTATACATATTTAACCTTTTAGGTACGGCTGAATTCTGCGCGAGGCTATTTCTCTGGACGCAGCGGAGTCTGATATGTACTGTACAGAGTTTGATACTGTATATTCTGTCTGTATATACAGGGTGTCCCAAAAATGTCTCGCAATCCGAAAGTGGCGGGTTCCTCGGGTCATTCGAAGCAACTTTTTCCTTTACAAAAATGTTCTCCGAGGCACCGTTAACGAGTTATTAACGAAAAACAGTGACCAATCAGAGGCGAGCTCGGCTGGCGCGAGGCGATCGAGCCAACGAGCGGAACTGGGCTTCGCGCGCTGGTTGGCCGGGCCGCCTCGCGTCAGCCGTACTCGATTCTTATTGGTCACTGTTTGTTCGTTAATAACTCGTTAACGGTGCCTCGGAGAAAATTTTCGTAAAGGAAGAAGTTGCTTCAAATGATCCGAGGAACCCGCTATTTCCGAATTGCGAGACATTTTTGGAACACCTTGTAGACTGTTGTAAATCGATGCGAAGACAAAAGAAGTGTGGCACAATGCATATGAAGACGATTATTTGATTCAAGCGATGAGCGAGTGTGCTACTAGAGCAAGCCACTATAGTGGCGCGTCGTCCAGAGAGATAACATTCGCGAAAGCCACTATAGTGGCGTGTCGTTCTAAAAGATGATATCCGCGGAAGTCACTATAGTGGCGTGTCGTTCTGAAAGATGACATCCACGGAAGCCACTATAGTGGCGTGTCGTTCTGAAAGATGACATCCACGGAAGCCACTATAGTGGCGTGTCGTTCCAAAAGATGATATCCGCGGAAGTCACTATAGTAGCGTGTCGTTCTGAAAGATGACATCCGCAAAAGCCACTATAGTGGCGTGTCGTTCTGAAAGATGACATCCACGGAAGCCACTATAGTGGACGCGTCGTCCAGAGAGATGACATCCGCGAAAGCCACTATAGTGGCGTGTCGTCCTAAATGATGCTATCCACGGAAGCCACTATAATAGCGCGTCGTGCCTAAAAGGTTAACGCGGATTCAGTTTGAGACGGCGATGCTGATAGGCTGCGCGAGTGTACGGTCGGATTCAGCCGTGATCGTCGCGTTTTCGATTCGCGATTTCCAGACCAGGGGCTGCTGCGGCGCGGCGCGTTTGCCTTTAATCGAGCCACGTATGCTTTCCTCGCCGCAGTTAGGTCCGACGAAAGGTCGCGTGGTCGGAGAACCGGGCTGTGTAGGTGGAACGACGGATGGCCGACGATAATTTCCCTTCGTTGCTATTTTACGAGGGGAGTAGAGCCGCGGCGGCGTACGGTCTGCCGGATCGAGCCGCGTCGATATCTCGTCTGCCTTATGAATGGGCCGCACGTACCGGAAAACTGCCGATCGATAGCGGAATTTCTACGGATTCGCGCAGAAACACGGCCGTATTTTTCGAAAGTTTTCCGAGGCAGCCGTCGGCAGGACCGTGACACGGGGGATGTGCGCGGCCTGTTTGTTTTCACTGAGCGTAATTTCGACGCGGAACTACGGGGACGCGCGACACCGGAAATCCACTGTTGCCCGCCCCCGCGGCAATTACAGGTCTTCGGGAAATTTTCACTCGGGCCCTCGGAAAGTAAACTCGCCGCACGGTCGCGCAGGGGCCGGTCCATTGAAATAATCCGTTAATCGAGTCGCGAAATTCTCTGGGAAAATTTCATTCGATTTGCCGCCGCGTCCATTTACTTTTAATCGGCCGGCCGCGCGCCGGAGGCTTTTACGCGTTGAGACAGCCGCGAACTTCCGGTTATCAACTTTCGATTAATTCTGGATCATTTGAGCGTCGGGAATCGGATCCCGCCGACACGACACCGCTGATTTTCAGTGGTCGGAGAGACGCTATCGCGTACCGATACACGCTGTCGGTTTGTTTGTTCTCGCGTGGTTTAAACCTCGAAACTTTCTGTATAACGATCTTTGGTAATTACTGTAAAATAATCGCGATCGCGATATCTGTTCGACTTCTTTCGAACGTTTCGATATTGTAGCCTTGATCTATATAGTTCACCTTTAACGGATATATTGATTTTCGCGATAATGACTAGTATACCGGGTTCTCCCTATATACCCTAAATAAAAAGTGCGAAAGGATGCGTTAATCTAATTCTAGATAAACACTGCGTTCGCAGCGTATTTTTAGCTAATGTGTTGTATATTAAATATAATTCCGTGATAAATAACAATATCCTTTAAAAGTTACGGAAATGTTTTGTAATAGATTATATATATTTTCAAACTCGATCTCGGCTCTGGTACTCGAATGGCAAAAATATGAAATTGGAACTGGAAACAAAAGAAACAAGACTGCGATTATATCGAAAATATTCAATCGTAATCTGTCATTCGCATCGTCGAACATAACTCCGACATAATGTACAGTTGCCCACGAGAGTGTTCGTACACCTTTTAAAACGCAGTCAATTTTCCAAAACTGGACTAAATGACTTGAATTTTTTTTTAGATGATAGGGAGACTAGTAAATACAGAATAAAATTTTCCACATGTACAGTGACTCGCATTAATTATTCTATTACTTGGAATGAAAAGAAGAAATTAGAAACCCTTCTTTTTAATTCTTTTATCTAAGCTTCTAACGAAAATTTAAAAAATGTCTTTCGTAGATCACGGT